CAATTACACTGCAAACGAAGCCGATGAAGTGAGGGAACACCAACTGCCGACGCTTCAGCAAAATGCGGTCAATAGAATTTGCAACGAAACCGAAGAGAGGCAATTTTACAGTCAAAATTATCTTCTTCGATGTAACGATAGGAAGTAAGAATTACACCATCTGTAAAATCGACATGCGGAGTATCTTTCCAACTGACTGAGGACAGCCTATCAGCCTATTCACCGTTACAGCCAAGAGAAAATCACGCTGGCCTTGCGATGCTCGTGGGATACACGCGCGCATCGCGCGCGACGAGATTATAAACCTCGCGGCTCGGCGATTCGCGCCTCGCCTCGCGAGGAAAAATAAATACGCATGCATGTGTCCTCATATTTTGAGCACAAAAACGTCTTTAAGAGCCCTCAGAACCTCTTATGAAATAACTAAGGAGATAGTTTCCGTGAACTACGAGTTAAGATTTCTTGTCAATATTTAAGCAAGCGTCTTGAGCGGGTGACTGAAGTATATACCCGATATAAACTAAAGAAGACAAGTCTCTTCGAAAATCTGAAAAAAAATTCTCTAGCGAGCGTATGTGATTACAGTTTCTTTTTGAACTACAATTAATTGAAACTTATAGCGCGGCAATTTTCCTTGATGCGCTTTACAGTAAGCCAAACAGAAAAAAAAATGAAGAAAATGTACAAGCAGAGCAAAAAGATTAAATAATAATAAATGTAATAATAATAATAATGTTTAAAAGACTAAAAATGTATAAAAATTTACAAGCAGGTAAAAGATTTAAAAAATAATAATGATGATAAAATAAATAAATAATAAAATAAACAAAATAAATACTCTACTACAAATTAAAAACTTTTTTAAGAAGACATGTTTTAACATCGGCATTTAAAATCTGAAAGAAAGTCAACGCTGGATATTTTACTGAGTAGAATGTTCCAGAGCCTCGGGGCTGCCCCTAGTATAGGAACCTGAAGCATAATTTTTCAAGTTCGCTGGATCTAAGGGAATATCTGGTTGATGTTGTCCGGCTGATCAATTTGCAGATATAACCAGGGGCCATGCCGTGAATAGCTTTTAAATTAATAAGAAAAATTTTTAACTCCATGCGGTACTTAATGGGCAGTCAGTGAAGCTGAGATAAGACTGGCATTATAGGGCTATATGGCCAAACTTAGATTGCTTGAAAATAAGTCTTACAACTGCATTTTGTGTCTGCTATGTGCTAACTTTTTATATTATTTTTACGCATAATGTAATGTCTAGCTTGTTTTAAATAATCATTTTCCTTTCTCTCTTTCTTTCATTTAGCCGAATTACCTAAAACATGCAGTGAAATAAAATACAACAACGCAAAAGCACCAAGTGGCAATTATGTTATCGATCCCGATGGAGTTGGGGGCTACAAGTCTTTTGCTGTTCACTGCGACATGACAGACAAGAATGAAGTTGGCGTAACAGTTGTCGGTCACGACAGTGAAGGCAGAACTCTGGTTAAGGGCTATGAAGAAAAAGGAAGCTACGTACGTGATGTCCATTACGAAGGGACAGGGCTAACTAGCAATCCACAATTGTTTGGCCTTTTGAATGTCTCTGCACATTGTGAGCAATTTATCAAGTATGAATGCTATCACGCAGCTCTCCTGTATATGGGTAATCCAGAAAGCTGGTGGGTATCGCGCGACTCCAAGAAAATGACCTACTGGGGTGGAGCCAGCCCAGCGGACTCCTACAAGTGCGCATGCGGGGTGACCAAGCCCAATTCATGTGCAGATAGCAGCCGTGGTTGCAACTGTGATGAAAATGATTACGTCTGGCGAGAGGACAGCGGTCTTCTAACTGAAAAGCGTGACCTCCCAGTTTCACAGTTAAGATTTGGAGATACGGGATCTGCTTCTGAGGAAGGTTATCATACCCTTGGAAAACTCAAGTGTTACGGAATAGTTTCTGTACCTTGAATGTTAGACCAAAAACACAAGTAAACGTAATAATAATAATAATAATAATAATAATAATAATAATAATAATGATAATAATAATAATGAACTTTATTAAAGCCTCATGTCTTATAGCTCAGACATGAGGCACAGCGCCTTACTAATTGGGGAGACTGTATCATATACATAAAACTCTAGTAATATACTGTAAATTCTAATTATAATTTAATATAAGTATTTGTTGTCAGTTGACTTTGCACGCAGATTTGGGCGGGTTTGAGATCCGTCTAGTCTCATCGCCAGATATTTCCTAATACCTGGACACGAGGTTGAGATCTGTTCTTATGCAGAGCTTCCGGTGCTCACAGTCTTCTTTACATAGCAGGTTTTAGCTAATTTCAAAACAAAATGTTAGTAATTTTACTTTCCATCTATGAACGTAGAGACTTCAGTTGCTTGAGAAATGGTCTTGACTGTCATTATTACATTGCAATTGTAAATACGTTAGCTGAAACGTTTCATTAATTATAATAATAGCGATATTAATAAGTAATGGTATCAGAACTAATTGGAGTACAATCCTGGGACTATCGGGCGAGTAATTCAAGTGTCATTGTCTGCGAAAGTGTTCCAGGGGCCAAAAGTTGAGGGTCAACTAATTTGGCTGAAACTTGGCACAGAAGTTGGATGTGATGAGATATTTCAAAAGCCACTTTGGATCACTTCTCTGACTTTTAGTTTTGGAGTTACAGGGGGGTCTCAGTTTTTACCCTTTGAGCACCAAAAATCCAGCCTTTCAGGGGGCATTTTGAAAGTGCCATAAGACCACACTGGTAAATTATGCTGCCCAATGAATTTGACCATGAACTCTACTATAAAAGAGATTTCAGTTTATGCATAAAACGTTGTCCTCAAGGTATTGCACAGAGAGGAGCCTGGGGCTATTGTTTGGCGAAATTGATCTTAGAATTACAACCCAAAATAGCCATTTTTCAAAACCTCATTATACTCACCTGCCTCCTTGCATAACTTCCATACCTATACCACTGTTTAATTTAGTCACCCAATTGTCAAAATCAGTTGAGAAAAATTTGGCTTATTATGATTTATTGAATTTTTGGAACAAACACTTCATGCCCCTCTAAGGCGATGCAAAATGGAATTTTGAGCATAATTCAGGCCATAAACAAACCAAATTGTTGACAAGAAGCCCTTATTCTGTACTTAGTAAGTGAAGATGAATTGTCAAAGCCAAATCAGTTTCGTTGTTGAGAAATACACCGACTCTTAGCTTAAAATTGATCTAAAACGGACCTCTGATCAGCGCAACAAACACATGATTTAGCAAAAAAAGGGTGATTTTTTTCTTTGAAAACCTAGTAACCATCGTAGAACACAAATGATAATGTTCTGACCTGGATATAACGATCTTTTTACAAGATGTTTAAATTTTTCTTTGATTTATATTCAGTTTCATGTCATATTTCTAAGCATTACTCCAAGCATGGAAAGTCTCCATATTTTGTCAGGCCCATTTTTTATATTTTACCAGATAACGTTAGCTAACAAAACGTTCGTTAACATATAATCTTCGTTTGACCTTGTAATAGCCTGAATAGTGTTTTAAATACCCATCATAAAAGGAGCATGACTATACATACATAGATTATACAAACAAATACGAGCTTCAGTGAGCAGTATCGAGGTGACCTCTGATTTTCCGAGCCCTTTAAGGCTGAAAAAATGAAACCATCCATCCACAGTTAGGAGAGCTGGATAACAAAAAGCTTTTGTTGCTTTTTTAAAGAAAATAACCCAAACAAAGCCTTGTATTGAGATGAAACAATTGTTATTATATCAAACAAGAACGATCTTATAGCGGCATTCAGTCTCACTTGCTTGGAGATTAGATCGAGAAATGAGGAGGCGATTAATTCTACACGAAACAGCATTTACTCGCTGAAGGTTTTTTTTACTTCCTACCTTATCGAAGTCGATACTTCGACACTTTTTATTTGTTGCCGAATTGATTTTGTACGCGGGGTAGCGACGTCCGGAAATACGTCTGCGGTCATAGGCTATACGCGTGTATAAATACACGAAAATTCAAGGGTCTCGATTTCAGAGAAGTTACATCATTGCCAGAGATCAAAAAAGTGATTTACTTTGCAGGTCATTTCAAACATCGCCGAGAATAAACGGCATGCTCATCACCAGAGCCATTTGCATACAATGAAAGTTTATACAACACCCGACCATCGCAGTTTAATCTGGCTAATAATTTTGGTAACTATTTTGTACAGAAGATTGAACGTATGAATGACTCACTGGACGCCCTTTAGTCATCTGAGCTTCTTGACGGCGATGGCGATGCGTCCTCGGATAACATGGGCGCATGCGCAAACTGTGTTGATCCTGATCCGTGCGAATGTGCAGAGTTCCCAACTTCAAGACCAAGTTTCTTTGATTATTGGAAAGGCAGCCATGAAATCTTGTCCTTTAGATCCTGCACCTACATCTGTGGTTCTACGGGTTCTTGATGTGCTGTTACCAGTAATCACCTGTATGATCAACATGTCGTCAAGAAGTGTGGTCTAGACATCGCCAACAAAAACTTTCGCCCAGTAAGTAATCTCCCGTATGTCTCCAAGTTATCTAAAAGAGCAGCTGCTGATCAACTGATTGATCAACACCTTGTGCTACAGTCGGCCTACAAGAAACATCATAGTACTGAATCAGCGCTTTTAAAAGTGAAGAACGATGTCTTATTGAATATGGATGCGCAGAAGGTGACCTTGCTGGATCTTTTAGATCTCAGCGCAGCTTTCGATACTGTACGGCACGACATCTTGCTGGATCGGTTAAGGTCAAGTCTTGGTGTGACTGAGAAGGGATTCAACTGGTTTAAATCGAACCTCTCCGACCGTGCACAGCGTGTTGCAGTTAATGGAGGGCTGTCAGATACCTTTCCGCTTGCGCAAGGGGTGCCGCACGGGTCGTGCCCCGGCCCGCTTATGTTCACAGTATATACCAGCGAACTATTCGATATAGTGGGAGGACGC